CCTTCTTAAATCCACCCCCAACCCCACCCCCACTCCCACACCTCTATCTCTTCTCCCAGACTCCCCAGTGTGGGTACAACCTGTACACTCACATGCCACAGCCTGTTCCTGTGCATAGAGAAGGGAAATATTTACATTTCCTGTGATGTCACTTGGCTAGTGTGGAGCTCCAAGTATCTAAGAATCGGGACTGAAAGTCAGAGCTGAGATAAATTCAGCTTCTGGGTATCTGTATCAAGCAGTTCCTTCCAGGGTGCAGCTCCCTCACTGCCATCCCATCATGCCAACTCTGCCTGGGTGGAATCCCTGGGAGAGACTGTTCATCTGCCTGGTGGTGCAGATTCATCAGAGGAGAAGGCTTTCGAGGCTGCTGGTGGAATGTGGGAAACTCCCACTCTCCCCTCCTAGATCTGCCTTCCAGCTATGATATGGTCAGGCAGGGCCGCCGCCCAGGGCCCCATTGGAAAGATGAACACACAGGCCTGCCTTCTTTTGTAATGCCCTGAGCTGCCACTTGGCTGCCATGTTCAATGCAGCACAGGTTGATAATGAGCCTTTGAGGTGTGAAGATGGGCTCAGGGCTCCTCAGCCTTCGGTGGGCACAGCTTTCAATTCACTCAGTCAGAAGTGCGGCCTGGGATGTTGTCCTCTGACGAGCTGAGCGGCCTTCCCGACGCTCTGGGTCCTCTTCCGATGGCAAAGCTGCAGACCCTCACTCAGGCTTCCTGTGGCATCAGGCCTGGGTTAAGCCCCTTCCCCCACTGGAGCTGACGTTGAAATTGTTACGAGGTGCTGACCTAAGTAAGCTGGCTTTCACAAAAGTTTGAAAGATGGTAGAGGGGTCAAGACAGTTGTCACATCAAAAGCTGTGCTCCAGGGCAAAATATCTCAGAGACCATTAGCAGCCATACTCGACTAATGTCCCAGAAACACAGTGAGCGCCAGACAGTAGATGTGGGCCTGTGACATTGGGCCTGTCTGGATACTGACTGAGCCCTAGAGAACCGATGTCTTGGGAAAATGTAAAAACAACCCCACCCCCCACCCCCCGAAAAGCTTATTGGGCATTGGCATTGTCAATAGTTGACTCTTCATGACCTGCAAAATCTGGAATTTCCTATGATCTTTCCCTAAAAATGTTCAGGCAGTGTCAAATGGATGAAGAAACTCCTTCATCGATGGCAGTCCCCCCCCCTTTTTTTTTACACTTTGATTCATTTTATTTGTGATACATTTATTTACATTTTAGAATGGTCTTACATCTATAGTCTTAGCCCTCGCAGGACTCCCATATACCATCTTTAGGCAGGTAGGTTTCTGGTTGGCTTTGGTTGTTGCCCTTTTTGTGTGTGTGTGTGTGTGTGTGTGTGTGTGTGTGTGTGTGTGTGTGTGTGTTGGGAAGGGCATAAAAGGGAGCTGATGTCAAAGAGTTCAAGAAGGCACAGAATGTTTTGAAACTGATTGTGGTAGCAATTGTACAATCCTGTTCGATGTGATTAAACTGTGGAATGATGTGATATCAGTATTAACTCCCAATAAAATGGTTTTGAAAAAAAAGTGGGGGAGGAAACAATCCTCCTTGATTAAACCTATACCTCCTGAAAGGAATCTGTTTTCTGTGCATAAATGATAATGGTCCCTACGTTGTTGGTTTATTGTGAAGATGAAAGGATCGCTTCTATACAAGCCTTCGTAGAGCGACTAGCACAGAGTAAGTCCCTCATCATGGGCAGTTATTTTTTATGTTGTAGTTGGTGTGGTGATTACATGTTAGGATGCAGTCCGCATGGTCAGCAGTTCAAAACCACCTGCAGCTCCATGAGAGAAAGACTGGGTTTTCCATTCCCGTAAACAGTTACAGTCTCAGAAACCCACGGGGGAGTAGTTTTGAGTCAGCATTGACTTCGATGGCAGTGTATTTGGGGAGTATAAATAAATGCTTATGTCAGGAGCCATTCTAATAGGACCCTCAGGGAATCAAGGATCTGTTATGGAGGCAGAGGTGTGGCATAAAAGGAGATTCCAGGGGAAGAAAAAGGGGAACAGATTTGGCAAGAACTGGGTCCTTGGTGACTACTTCCGAGTCACCTCTCATTCCTGACTGGCTGTCCTCACCCCGAGTTTAGGCCACCCTGCCCCTCCCCCTAAGAGATGACTGGAAAGTCATCATGTGCAACAGGCAGGGCTTTTCCTGGAATCCATGACCTTGTCTCTTCCGACTGCTGCTCAGCCAGCAGGAAATCCCCTCCGGAGCCGGCCATTGTCGCTTTGATATTTCAAAGGGTGCCTCTAAATGGGGCAAGCCGAGGGAGGCTTGCTGGAGGTCTGTTCTCTTGTCTGAAGTAGAATTGCAGCTCTGAGTCTTTGGGGCCACTGGTGGGGATGATGTCCTCCTGGTGTGTCTTGCCCAGTACCCCGCATGGATGAACAAAGGTGAAGGTCCCAGCTTCACAGTGCCCCAAACTTGGGGGGACATGAGCACTAAGAGGGTGAGCTTGGCCCATGGTGGGCTCCAGGTGCAGCCAGACACCTGGACCTGTTATTGTTGCTGCTGCAAGCTGCCCTGCCTCACAGCAACCCGAGGCCCAAGAGAAGGAAATGCTGCCCACACCCACACCATCGTTCTGTCACTTGTGCATTGAATGGTTGGGATCCATAGGGTATTCAATAGCTGATTTTTGGAAGTAGATTGCTGGGCTTTTCTTTCTAGTCCATCTAAGTCTGGAAGCTCTTCTGAAACCTGCTCAGCCTCATAGCAGTATGCATGCCTCCCCTGACGGATGGGGGGTGGCTGTGCAGGAGATACATGGGCCAAGGCAGAGGACTTTTTATTACATAAGAGACTGAGGCTTAGAATGAGTGAATGACCCGTCTCACTCTGAAAGAGCTCCAGTGGTGGGATTCTGTGCCTGGTGTGACTCCAGCATCCACTACCTTCAAATACAGGGCCCTGACCTCACTGCTTAGCTCTTTGTACCTTCTCTTCAGCCCACCTTGATCCTGGGACCAACGTCAACACCCCCAGAGACTTTCTGGCTGCTAGTTTGCTCATTTCTCTGGTTTCTCCAATGTTTCCCACCCTTCAGTTGAACAATAGGTGTTCTCGCGCACACACTCCGCATGAAGCCTCACTGGGGAGCTGAGAGACTATAGGGAGCAAGGACAGAGAATTAGGGAACAAGGACAGAGAAGGAGGCGGTGGCAGGGCTGTGGAGGCAGAACTTCTAAAAGATGCCCCTTGCACATTCCAGAGGGTCACCCTCAGGATTCAGGAATGCAACAAAGCCATTTTTCTCAGGATGATGGGTGGAAGTACTGGTTACAAAGGCAGGGTTCTGCAGTCCACCCTGAACCTACTGCACTGGATGGAAGAATAGAGGGAGGAAGGGTGGTAAATATTTCTTAAGCTCCCAAAGATTCAAAATACCGTGCAAGATGGAACTAAACGCACCTTGACTCCCATCTTCAGCTTACAGCAGTGTGCCTTTGTCCACTGGGAAATGCAGAGAATAACATCCTGCCCAGCAGGTGATCCTCAGTGACAAAGTTCTCCTGGGCTGTCCAAGTTCCCCAACCATAGCCCCTCAGCAGACAGTCTCTCCAGTGCTGGCGCCCTGGGAGAAGGGGAGGCAGGACTGCAGCAGAAGGTTCTTTCCTCCCAACTTCCCAACCGCCTGCCTGGGCACAGAGCCCCAGCGGAAACTGGGCAGGAACCAGACATATACATTGCCTTTGCTTCCTCTCAGTCCCTGCACATTTATGTGGCTCTAAAATAACTTCCTTCGGAATGCAGCAGCAACAACTGGAGTTTTGAAATTCCAATCGTCAACCGTCATTTCTCTATTCTCCTCATCCACCACCACCCCACCCACCCAAATGTATGAGCCATCAGGTACCCAGGGCATCCCCTCTTCCTAAACAAAAGTCAAAGCCCATTGCTGCTGGCCAATTCCAACTTGTGGGGACTTTCTGTGCAGCAGAGGAGAACAGGACGCCATAGGGTTTGCAAAGCATGCATTTTTAGAATTAGATCTCCAGGCCTTTCTTCTGAGGTGCCTCTGAGTGGACTCAAACCTTCAACCTTCCAGTTAGAAACAAAGGTCACTACCCTTTGCACTACACAGACATGTCCATAGCTTACTTCTGAGCTTTTCCTAACATTGTAATTTAGTAGAGGTGAGGAGGAGACAAGCCATGGGAGCTAATTTAGTTCTTGAAAAGGAGGAAGGAGAGAGAGAGGGAGAGAGAGAGAGAATGCTAGATAAAGACTGACTCGTCATGGCAAACCGACAAGTATCGCCTGACATGATGATGGCAGTGCCTCTGTGAACAAGTACAGAATTTAGAGCCAGTGTAGATGGCTTCAAATCACGGCTCTACCAGCTAAAGCCGGTGTGACTTTAGGCAAGTTACTTGGCCTCTCTGTGCCACAAATGAAATGTGAATAATGGTCCTGCTTCTGAAATTCTTGTGAAGATTCAGTAAGGAATTGCACATGTAAGTAGTGAAAATAGCCAGACACAGGGTGTTGAATAAATCTTCTCTCAGCTCTCTCTCTTACTGCCATTGAGTTGATTCTGACTCATAGTCACCCTCTAGGATGGAATAGAACTGCTCCTGTGGGTTTCTGAGGATGCAAATATTTATGGGAGTAGAAAGCCATATCATTCTCTCTCAGAGTAGCCAGTGGGTTAGAACTGCTGGCTTTGAGGCTAACATCCCAACACATAACCCGCTACTTCACCAGAGCTCCCAAATAAGTCTTAGGACTGTTTATTTTAATTATTGTTAGTAAATGAAATAGCTAGCAAATGATGGTAGACAAACATATACCAGAATGAACTTTACCTGGAGAGATCTTCACAAGTTTGTGAAGTTCACTCTAAAGAATAGAGGTTCTCTGGAAAGACTTCAAGGGAGCGCTTCTTGCATCGTGGCCTTGAAAGGGGCTTGAGTTGGGAAGTGCATCACAGGAAAGCCCACTTGGAGGCAGAGAGGAGCAAGGAAGTGTGGTCAGGGCTTAAGGGAAGGCTTGGATACCAACTGTGGAGCGGGTAGAGCTCCTACCAGGTGAAATCTGATCCATGCCAGTTCTTAAATAAAAAGGTTAGGTGGCGAAAGGAGGTGAAATCCACCAAGGTTACCCAGTGTGCAGACTGAGCGTTCTGTGTGAGGGGTACCTCGGGTCAGCATGATGCCCCATCCCTCAATAGCACTCGCTGTTAAGCACAATGCTCAGCGCCTTCATTTCTTACTCAGTTGATACTCCCACCAGCCTCCCAAAGACCAGTTTTAGCCCAGGTGAAAACTGAGGCTCCGAGAGGGTGAGTACCTTGACCAGTGTCACACAGCCACATTATGGCATTGCTGGAATTTGAACTCAATCACTGCAGAGACCTTGCTCCCAACCACTGAATGATAATGACAAATGCTTTTAAGACCTTGTTGTTGTTGTTGTTGTTGTTGTTTAGTGCTGTTGCATTGGTTCTGACTCACAGTGACCTATGTACAACTGACGGATTCCCTGCCCAGTCCCGTGCCATCTGTACAATTGTTACGTTGCAGCGCCTCATTGCCGCCACTGTGCTGACCCATCTTGTTGAGGGTCCTCCTCTTTTTCACGGACCTTCCACTTGACCAAACATGATGTCCTTCTCCAGGAACAGTCCCTTCTGATAACGTGCTCAGTGTACGCGAGATGAAATCTTGCCACCTTCACTGCTAAGCAACAGTAAGGGACATTCTGTCTGTACTTCTTCCAAGACAGATTTGTTTACTCTTCCGGAAGCCCATGGACATATTCAACATTCTTCACCAGCACTCTCAGTATGAAAGGAGCTGAACTTACTACTAGAGCTTACGAGATGCTTTTAGGTTGCTTACCTGATTCTCCTAACCATCGTGGGAGACTGGATGTCTATTAGTAGTCCCATGTTACAAAGGAGATGATCGAGACACCTAGCTAATAATCTCACAGCTTTGCTACCCAGGCAGCCTGATTAACGACTTGGCTGCACCAGAGAAAGCCACCATAGAACTAGCTAAGGGAGGAAAAAAAAGTCCAGAGGAAGAGAAAATGGTACCTCAGTATGTGCAATGGTTAGACAGCCAGGGTGCAGCTGAGATGTTGACATGGGGACCAGCTGAGTGCTGAGAAGAGGTCGTGAGACATATCCCCAAGGTCATTGAACTGACTCATGGTTCGTCTTAGGCAAAGAACTTAGGGTTCAAATGGAGGCAAGTTTAGAACATCATGCTTTATCTTTCTTGACAGGACTTCAACCACAGGAATTCTTAGAAACTCAGATATAGCCAGTTCTTCTACTCTTGGATCCAGAGACTGGTTTATTAAAGAGTGGATTGTCAGATCACATTTCAGAGGCAACCCAAATCCCACCCCCACATCTTTCACTTAAAGGGGCTCTGGTGGCCTCGTGGTTACACACTGGGCTGCTAACTGCCAGGGAGCATGAAACTGCCCGCTGCTCCCTGGAGAAAGACGGGAACGATTTGATTCCCATAAAGAGTTACAGCCTCAGAAACTCACATAGGCGGTGTTGCCCTTTCCTAGGGTCAGTCTGAAGCAGCATCCACTCGATAACAGTGAGTTTGTTTGTTTGTTTGTTTGTTTGGCTAGCATTCACTGGCTGCTTGCCTGACCTCCGATGGGCACTCAGCTGCTAACCCCAAAATGATAGCTCAAAGTTCAGCGCTCACCTGTCCTGGGACTGATCATTAATGAACAATTTTTTAAAACATTCTTTCAGGGGCTCCCCAGGCAAGCACTTACAGAAAAGGAGGATGGGCCACTACGAGAGAGACGAGCAGGTATGTACGCTGGTTCTTTGCCAATCTCCTCCAGTCATTCCCATCAAATGGCATTTGCTGTGACTTATTTTAACTCGGTGACCTACCGTGTGCAGTATCTGAGCAGCATGAGGGTCAAGTAGTAGAATCCAAATGCAGAAAGTAATGACAAAAGCATCCCATTCACTACTACTACAGTCAAATAAGCATCAACAAATAGGCAACCCGTTTTTTAAAAACAAAATTGCGGTACACTCAGTTCCAACTCCCAACAGTCCATGCATGTTCGCGTAGAGCTGTGTTCCAGAGTTTTCGAGGGCTGCTTTCTCAGGTGTAGCTCGCTGGACTTGTCTTTTGAGGTACCTCGGGGCAGACTCAAACATACAACCTTTTGATTTGCAGCCAAATGTTTCACCATCTGAACCACGAGTGGCTCCAGCAACATGCTCCAATCTCCCCTTTCTCTGTGTCACCATGCCCCGTATCGGGAAGATGTCCAGGGGCCTCTCTTGGCCATCGCCCTCCTCCACCATCACAAAGCCTGCTTCTTGAGCCTCAAGCCACCAAGGAGGGGAGAAGGGGCTAGGGGGCATGCCATAGGGACAATGGGAAAAAAAGCGAATGCGGAAAAGGACAGAGGAAGGAGAGAGTAGAAAAGGGAGGGAGTGGGGAAAAGAGAGAGAAAGGAGAGGGAAACGAAAACCACAGATGTGGAAGGGAAGTGCACGGTGCTGTGCTAGCTCATGTTTGAAAGTTTCCCTCTCAGTCACCTCACGTTGCTTCTTTGTTTCGTGCCTCAGCGTCACCTGCACTTTTCCACCCTTGTTCCCTCACTGAACTCCAGAGAAGTGGTCTGGAATACCTTGGACACTTCCCTTTGTGAAGGAACCCCGGTGGCATAGTGGGCAGAGTTGGACTGCTCTCTACAAGGTCAACAGTTCGAAACCATCCATTGCTCCTCAGGAGAAAGACAAGGCTTTCCACTCCCATAACTGGTCCAGTCTTGGGAGCCCACAGGAGCAGTTTTACCTTGTTCCATAGGGTCCCTATGAGTCAGAATGAGCTCGATGGCAGGGAGCTTGGTTTGGGGTTTTCATCTTTGTGGGGTTAGGTGCAGTTGAAGAACTGAGAGCATTTGTCTTCATTGGTGTCTCATCCCAAATGTGGAGTTTTGGTGGCATAATGGGTTATACGTGGAGTTGCTGACGATAAGATCAGTGGTTCGAACCCACCAGCCCCTCTGTGGGAGAACAAGGAGGCTGTCTACACCTGCAAATATTTAAAGTCTCAGAAACCCAAAGGGGCAGATCTACTCTGACCTGTAGAGTGGCTATGAATTGGACTCTGCTTCATGGCCATGAGTTTGATGCAGTTGTTAATGTCTGAGACGGCTTCTAAAGGTCACAGGAAAGTGGAATTTTTTGAAGCCGTGGGATTTTCCCACGACCTTTTTCTCCTATTCCACCATCTCCCAAAAAGGATCTTGCAAAAGCATAGATCTGATGCCCTCAAAAAATATTTTCTTTCTTTAAAATCACTGCCCTTTGGTAATTCCTTTCCTTGATCTTTTCTTTTCTTCTTTCTCCCCCCACCCCACCCCTGCCTTTTTCCTGTGTCCACCCTGGCCTTTTCTCATTCACTTTATTAATTTTGTCCTGATGCATCACTCTCTAGCACCTTCTCCCCTCCTCCTGGAATACCTCATAGTCCAGACAGGGCACTCGGAGCTTTAAAGCAAGCATGACCTTCTCATCTCCGTCCCTGTCAACAGCCCCCAAGCCCTCCTGAACCCCGTGACAGGAACAGGACCGGAGATGTGCCCACTGGTGTTTGGACAGACCTTTGTCTGTTAACATCAAACTCTTGGAGATGAGTTCCAGCCAGGTTTTTGCCAAGTCCTTGGGGCCAGGCTGCCAGCTGCCCGGGGAGCAGTCGTTGACCCCACAGCTGTAAAAGGAACGTCTTCTTCCTGCGCTTCCTGGCCCCGCTGTTTATGGCCAATGGAGATGTTTGGGGAGTGGAGGGTGGGGGGGGCGGGTTTGCTTGGAGAGGAAACTGCCACTAGGCCTAGGGAGCAGACATTCCAGAATTTTTCCAAGCTTAATGAAAAACAACCTTGGTGGGGATAAATCCCCAGGAAAGCATGTTTCTCATTGATTTCACATGGTCTTCTGTGCTCTTGGGCCCCCAGAGTCTCGCACTTGGGCGTGTTAATGAGTTCATCCATCATCTGCAGAAGTTGGATTAGCCTTGGTGGTTTTACTAAACCACTGATGTAAGACATGGTCTCAGAGGGCCCAGGCTCTGGGTCCCCAAGTCCCAGCAGGTAAGCGTCAATTGAGAGGGTCCCTCCCCAGTACAGTTGAGAGGGTCCCACCCCAGTAGGCGAAGAACAGTGAGGGGGTGTGATGTTTGGTCCAGCATCTTCCCACACTTGGGCCTCTGCTGTGGTGACTGAGGGTCTGCACGGGGCTCTGGCTTTCAGATCAGGGCTGGGTTGGCTTCCTCTCACAGGCATGGGCACAGGAGCGAGCCATCACAAGAGGAAGAAGAAAAGCAGAGATGCCCAGTGAAAGACAAATAGGTCCTTTGAGGCACGGGGCCCAAATTGTTCAGCCTCTTTAAGAATAGGATCAATACTTGTTGGTCATTACTTATGTGTAATCTCAGTCCACCAAAAACTTCCTAAGTGGTCTCAGTTACTTACCTTCCCTGGGACGTTTGAAAAGATGACTTTCACCCTTATAGGATAGTGGAAGAGATTCAATCATTGTTGTTTGAAGTGAACTGTCTGTCTCAAAAGGCTCCAAGTCCACTTCAATTCCATGTCCCTCCTTTTTCAGCCACTCCGACTGAGGTTCCGATCCAAGGGGTAAGGAACCTGCAGGGTTTTTAAGGCTGTGAGCCCTCACTCACTCTCTCTCTTTTATGTACAACATTATATTTATTCGGGTGTTTAAAGGAAAATATATTCTACATGGTTGCTCATCTCATCAAATCCAGTCAGTAATGGTATCCCATGACACCCTCCATCCGTGTGTGTTTTCCCCTCCCCCCTCCC